TTTGGATTTTTTTTTTGAATTTTTTGGATTTATCTTGAAGTTTTGGCCTTATCTAATTCAAGAAAACGCTTTTAATGCATCATAAAATGTGTTGACTACATCATCAGACCATGTCTACGTCATCATGCCTCGTATGAGCCTATCGGGTCGTGTAACAGCCTGGCCCGCGGCCCCACACTTAGGTCTCATAGGGACTAAATTGTCATTTATTATATCTTTTTATCCGTAAGTTCGATTCAGGAGATTCTTGGACCGCTGGAAAGATCTTGGGATCTACTTCAATTTGGGATGGATTTGGATAGTTTTAAAGAAATTAAAGTGGATCTAAGTTACCTATAGTCTACTAATGTTTGTGTGGTCATTTAAGACTAGAATCGAGGCTTTTAGCAGTTCCCTTAGCCAGGATTTTGAAGGGATGTCTACATGCCCGTAGGATGTCTCACTTTGTACCTATCTAAAAGGTCCTAACCTCAAGGGCTAAGGTACTACCAAGGAGTCAAGAGAATGAGGGTGAGGGTTAAACTATGTCAAATCCTGTCAAAAGATCTCACTCTCAAAGAGCCCCTGAGATGAGTGATCAAAGAGAACGTAGAAAAGAAAAAAAGAGAAAAATGAGAAAAAAAAGTACAAAGGAGAATAGAAGAATAAATAAAAATAAAAAGATAATTGGGTTGAGGAGAAGATGAAAAAGGGAGAAGAGAAAGAGGGAGAGGTAAGAAGTGAGGGAGAAGAGATAGAGAGGGAATAAGGGCAGCTTGGGCTGTCCCCCTTTTGAGAGTGGTAGGGAGAGAGGGGGGAGGAGAGAGGGGAAAGAGGAAGAGAGAGAAAGAGAGGGACATAGAAGAATAAGGAGAGAGAAGAATGAAAGAGAGGGAGAGAGTGGGGGCAGCTTAGCCATCCCCACTTGAGGAGGGGGAAGTGAGGGAGAGAGAAGAGGAGAAAAGATAGGGACAGAGAGTAGGGGCGACTTGGCCACCTCCCTTAAGGAGAAGAGAGAGAGAGAGAGAGAGAGAGAGAGAGAGAAGAGAGAAGTGGGGTGGCTAGGCCTCCTAGCTTTTGTGAGAGAGAGAGGAAGAGAGGGAGAGAGAGGGAGAAAGAGAGAAAGTGGGGATGGCTGGGTCATCCCCCTTTGTGTGTGTGTGTGTGAGAGAGAAAGAGAGAGAGATGGGAAAGAGTTGGGGTGGCTGGGCAATCCCCACTTTGGAAAGAGAGAGAGAGAAGAAAGAGTGGGGGCGGCTAGGTCATCCCCACTTTGGAGGGAGAGAGAGGGAGGAAAGGAGAATAGAGAGAGAAGAGGAAAGAATAAGAAGAAGGGAAGAAGAATGAGGAAGACGAAGAGAGATAAGGAGGAAGAAGAAGAGAGAGCAAAAGAATATATAGGAAAGAGATAAACCGGTTAGTTAGGTGGGTGCGAAGAGGGCTTAAATCTGCTAGCTAGGTTTACTCCTTGAGTCCTTTGAGTGCTTTTAAGAGGGGTTAGGTTTTATGACTTAGGCTTAGGGTAGGACCTAGCTTGGGTGGACTAAGGTGAGGGCTATCTTAGGTGGACTAGGGTGAAGGTTAGCTTAGGTGGATTATGCTGAGGGCTAGCTTATGTGGGCTAGAGAGTGAAGGTAACTTAGGTGGGCTAGGGTGAAAGTTAGCTTAAGTGGGCAAGGGTGAGGGCTAACTTCCATGGGAGTATGGTGTGAGGTAGGTTAGGGAATATGGTGCAGTAGGGTTTAGGGAGTATGGGTGTGAGGTATGGTGTGGTCTAGGGTTGAGTGGGTCATGATGGGTAGACTAGAGTGTATGGTGTAAGGTAGGGTAGGGAGTATGATGTAGAGATTCTAGGGTTATTGCTCTCAATGCTAAAATATTCTCTCTCCTCTCTATTGAAGTGAATAATGAAATCTCAACACAAGAAACTCAAGCTATCAAACTCTAGCTTTCAAATTATCTCAAACTTAGGTTACAAATGATGAAAAATAGCTTATATAAGAACTCCGCCAAACATGGGTGGATGATCAAAACCATGTCAAATTGCTAAAAAATACATTTTTTCTAATTTGTAAGTGAATTCGTTTTTGGAGTGAAATAGTTATTTTGTCGTGCCCAACTTTCATGGAATTGACAAAACCATCCCTAAAAATTGGCATCTTGCCTTCGTTGTGGCTCGGGGCTCTATTGGGCACCTTCCAGCGAGCTTTCGAACAATCCAACATCGTAAAAACGATAGTTGCATCGTGATGATAGTTTTAATATTCATTATTGAGCTTGAAACGAAGTTTTGAGGTTGTTCCCAAAATCCGACTAGCTTGTCTTGCCTTTTTTCGATCATTTTCTTCATTACAAATCAAATGGGAGGTCATTGTGATCGTCTTGCAACAAGAACCCCTTGATTTGGTGCTTATTTGATCGCTTTCATAATTTTGTAGATCGCCAGAACATGAGATTCTGACTATCGGAAAGCCAAAATCAGGTATCATCCCGCGCCTTTATCCCATGCAAATCTCACTTCAAATCGAAGCACTTTGAAACACGGTCGCAACTGACCCATATTTGAAGCTATCTGATGTCGGGGCTCAGATATATGGCCACTCGAATGGGAGGATGTTCCACTTAAAAATTCTCCAATATGATTTTTCGGGTTCATCTTCTCTCTATAATTTTTCTCATTTCGGGCATCGTCTCGAGTCATGCCTTATATCAAAACGTGCGGCTTGATGAGATCTATCACATACTAAAATTTTGGCTCGATTGGCTTCTAAAAAGAAGTGCATTATGTAGCGCGTTCCATCCATGGGGCTAGTGGGCCCCACACACTTCCCCACATGTTCTAAATTGGTGGGGCCTATGGAGTATAATGGGCCCCCATATGTTATTTTATTTTTTTGCTTTGAATAGTCAACTATCTAAAAATTCTAAGTTAAGCCTATTTATAAATATGTTTTGGAAAAATAATATATCCAAAGACTTCTAAAGAATTATTTTATTAATCTAAAAATCATTTATATTCAAATTAATTATTTTTAAATTAATTTGATGAGATTTAGATCCAACTTTGTTAAGAAAAATGTAAAAATATTGAGGCACTCTATCTTCTACTAGATACTATGAACCACACTTCTACTAGATACTATGAACCACACTCACTTTCTTGAACTGATCCAGTAGTTCCCATGACCCATAGTCCATAAGAGGGATTTATGATTGGATTATTAAAATCATCCAATAGGTGATGAGAACATAGTACTAGTCTATGGACTATGGGTTCCCCTCTAAGAGCAAGCCTAGGTCACACAGACTTATGCACACACATCGTAATTTGTACATGGGGGCTATCTCTCACACATGAACATGCAACACCCTCAATAGTGTTCATTTCTTGATATGGCTATCATATGTACATGTCATATGATGGTCATGATAAGAATATTTTATTTGTCTCTTCAAGCCTATCAATCACACACAAGGGTCACAATCCGTTGGAAAACTACCCTCGGCATCTCCGACCTTATCAATAGGTAACCCTGCTAACTCTCTTCAGTTATGCTATATGCCAAAGTATTATAGGGTTTTACAACTCAACTAGCCTAGATCATCAAGCCTAGTTTGAGTCTGGGCATCAATATTGCCAACTTCAGTCCCTTTGGACTATACTGCCATTGGAGTTCATTATTCCACTATAGTAAAATTAGTTACATGCTCTCATAAGACCTTTAAACGGCCACAAAACATATTTGTCGTTGAAGAACTTATTCTTTGCTGATTGTGCTGATTGTATTGTACAAATGACTAATTGATTAATAAAATTTAGTAATGTTGTCAAAAAAAATATACATACATATTTATATGCCTAATTCTTTAAATCACGTTTGTGATCGACCATTCGAAAATTTGGATGGTCGGTATTCAATATTAGGCCTTTTTTTTTTATGTGCATACATATTTTTTTTAACACACATGCAAACACTGAGGTAAATTTTACCTTAAAGTACTCTCTATCTCTCTCTTATGGAACTCTTTAAGTTTAAAAAAAATGGTCAATTATACTCTCTCAACTTGCTATCAAAGAAATAATACTTTTATGTTTGATTCTCCTAGAGTAATGAATATTTACTTGTATTACTTGATATATACAAAAAAATCTTATTTATGAAACTCCATACTAGATTGGAATGGTAGCTTTTTTGGTAACATAGAATAAATTGAAGAGAGAGAGAGAGATAGGAAATAATGAAACAATAAGCAAAAGGAAATCAAACGATCAATTCTTTAGGGTCTCACCACTAAAAAGAGACAGCGAGAGAGAGAGAAAGGAAACATAGAGAGAGGCTTTTTCAAGAGGGAGAGAGGGAAAGAGAACCCATATTAACTTCAAATTTGCATTATTATATATGAGTAATGATCATATGAGACCCTCCCACATTTATGTGTGTAAGGGTCTCATAGGATTATTACTCATTTTATATTTGTAAGTAGATGGAATGCTTATGTTAAAAGTGTTCAAATTTTTTATGCTTTTGATAAAGCACAAGAATTTAACAAAAAATAGATCTATAATCTCTCTTTGATGGAAAGTATTTTAATAGGGCCACATCCCTATTAAAATAAGTAAAGCCTCACCTCGGAACTCATCAAAAATTGCAGTTTTAAAATCAAAAAACCTTCAACTCGATTATCTTGGCCTTAACCATTATAATTGTGAAAAATAAAATTTAGGATTTCAAGCTCTAAAAATAATGCATATTATAACACATTTCTCTTCTAAAAATAAGTGTTCACATATCAACAAGATCTTTTTCATTCTTTTAGCTTCAAATTCATAGTCGGTTTTGAAAATTGATTGTAGATCCATGAATATTTTCAATGCCTAGGTCTTGTAGAAACGCATGCCTCTTTAATAATAATTTTTAGCTTTTTTTTTTTTACCTAAAAATTTAACGTGCAAAGCAAGTTATATTGCTAGTGTGTGTAGAGAGAGAGAGAGAGAGTGAGAGAGCATTCCATTCTTTAACCTGAAGCCAAGAGGCCAGACGCCCAAGTGTGAGATAAATTGATCTCCACTAAAATATCTAAAGTTGCTCACTTTAAATTATGATGTCTTTATTGCAAGTACTGGGAAGATATTCTAAGGTATTCACCAAGGTCATTAACATCAAACCTTATCTGCTCCTACAATGACTTCCTCCCCTCTGCAACTCTCTCCTCATCTCAATCCCAGTCTCAAACCACACCCTACCAAAATCCTTCCCCACTTCACCTCATCCCCAAGGAAATTCCACCTAACAAAATGCATCAACCCCCCTCAAACTGACCCTCCCATTTCAAAGCCAGAAGACCCACCACAACCTCAAAATCTCTCTCTGCAAAACCCACCTATGCCAACACCAGAAGACCCCAAGCCACAAAACCTCTCACTAGGAAAACCACCCAAAAATTCGATTATTACTCGAAATAAATCAACAGCCTTAGAAAAGCCTGAGCCCCCAAATTTTGAGATCGGATGGAAAAGAACCAAACAGATTCCTCTAGACAAACCCAAAGGAGCCGTGATTGCTGATTTTTTGGACAAATTAGAGGGGCTGATGGGTCGGCGTTACGGGACTACGGAGCTTTTGGCGAAGGCAGGTTACATAGTTGCAGAGAGAGTCAGAGAAGAGGCTGATATATTAAGAGAGAAAGGAGAGGTGGAAGAGAGATTGATCACAGAGTTGAAGAGGGTGTTGAGGTTGATGGAGATGGACTTGGAATTGATCAAGGCTGCTGTTAAACAGGAAACATTGGCTCAGAGGCTTGAACAGGCTAAGGCTAGGTGCAGGCAAGCTATACTTGTTGCCAATTCTTTCTAACAATCAATGTTATCTAATCTTTAATGTGATTTTGTTTTTTGGGGTGAGGAGAAAAATAAATGAGCAACCAAGGGTAGCACCACGTTACTTTTCAGGGCCTTGGTTAAGTCCAACAAGTCTCTTTATCGGTATTTGTGTCTGAGGGAGAACTCTATGCACGTTGAAATGCTTTCTTGTCTTTGAGTAATTTGAGCCTTAAAACAAGACTCTCCATACATAAATTCCTTGTACTTGTTAAACTGTATCAGAAGTATTTGGTGGTCCTGCAGCCAAAATATTTATTTTGAATTAGTTTTCTTGAGAAATCGCCAATTTCTACTGTCCGCATCTAAAATCTGGGGCAGGAATTGTATTCTGCCAATATTTATTTTTTGTATTTTGAGCCCAAAATTAACCTCCCACAATCTAAAAAATTATGTCCCCCTCAGAGTTCCTTATGAAGCTGAACAAAAATAATTGAGATGAGCTTATAGCTTATTCGAGCAATCTCTTCCCCATCTCTCTCCCTTGCCCTCTCTCTCTATATCCTTACTAACCCAACTCCATTAACCTAACTCTCTCTATCTCTATCTCTCTCTCCCTTCTCATTCTAAAAAATTCTAATGTATTTGTTTTCGTCTCTCTCCATCCCTCTTTTATAGAAATATCCTTCTACCTCCGTCTTGAACCAGTTATTTCCCACTCTCTCTATCCCTTTCATGTTTTCTTCTATGGGGATTCATTGTGTTTTACTAGTTTTCCAGGTAGAAATGTATTTTGGATAATTGCATCCAGATGTATTTCACAAAGCAAAAACCATTTTACGAAAAGAAAATTCCTAAAAATGTATTTCACGGGAAATTGAATTTTTAAAGGTAATTTTATTCCAAGGAGCCCAAAGGTATTTGTTTAGAAGTATATAGCAATCTAAATCGGGAATCACTTATCTGAGGGACCTGGTTCCTTGTCAAAATTGAGAATAAGTCTGGACGGATTGACTCACCCGGTTCCCTTGGAGAACGAGGTGAATCTATTAAGGAACCAGGTGATCCAAACCCATCTAATCCCTTGTTTTCCAGCCATTATATTTGTTGTTCTTTTTTCTTTTTCTTACTTTTTTTTTATTTTTTATTTTTATTTTTTTGGATGGATTCTCGTGTTAGAGAATCAATCCAATTTGTTGATCCAAACTAGATTCCAAAAGGCCATTTCACCTGGCCAGTCTAGCCTTGAAACATTGGTTTGACAGTTAAACTGTAACCCTTGAAGTCTACTAAATTAATGGGAAAATATTATTCGGGCCACTAATTTCCAAATTCATTTTACAGTCGCGCCTTTAACTTTTCTCTTTCAAACGACATTAAATTTTTTGTAAAACTATCAACGTAAACCCTGATCCCCTCCACCCCCTCTCTTCCTGCTTGTTTACATTAAATTTAGCATCAACCATTACTCTTATATCACGAGGTAAAAATGGGCTGGGAGGAGGAGATCCTTATGTGGTATAAGAGAAATTATAGATGTCACATTTCTTGTAAAAAAAAGTAAGAAAAGAGGGAAGGGATAAGGGGGGCTTTGATAGTTTTTAGGGACATATAATGCCCTTGAAAGGAAACAGTTATAAGGGGCTAACACAAAATTACGATATTTTTTCTAAATCAATTTATTTTGTGTCTGGATCAATTAAAAGTAAATTTTCTTTTGGAGATCAAAAAGACAAAAACCGCCATAAATCAAGTCGTTCTCCACAATTGATTGGAACGTCCGGTTGGACAAACAATTGTTGTCAAGGTTTTTGTTGTGTCCAGTTTTGTACATGCTTCTTGTTGAACATCGATTATGGAAGCAGTAATGAAAATTTTAGTAAAATTCGAAGAATAAAAACCAATGAGATCTAATGATTGGACCTTCCAAAATAGGTTCAAAACCATTTTTTCTTTTGAAATTCATCACTAGCTAAATCGAAGATTATTTAAGAAATTATAGGTTATAAATCAAGCTGGCCTCCCCCAAAACCCTTAAAAAAAAAGGAGTTTAACCTGCTAAATCAAACGTGCAATATGATCTCACATGACCACAATATAGGCACCGGTTTATGTTAATAAAACAAATTGAGAGAGAGAGAGAGAAGTGGTGTGCCTTATTAACAGCAATATATAAACATGTAATGATGCAAAGGGGGCTGGGGTCGTGGGCCAGGCCATTCTAGGCATGTATGCTGGCTAATGTTTTTGCATGAGAGGGGGGGCATGTTTGTATTCTTGAGTAGCATAATGCTACATCTAATATCCAATATGAGGAGTGAAATGATTTTTTCAAAAAAAAAAAACACGAGTGAGATCTGTTGAGTAGTGCACAGAAAAATCACACTCAAAACAAGCACCTGTGTACAATTGAAAACACACTCAAAAATTTTTTGTCGAAAACACAAGAAAAATTGCGCATGCACATGAAATCACACACACAAGTGCTCACCAAATCTAGAGAGAAAACAAATTTCGTTAACAAGAAAAATATTGACGATGTATAATGCTACTTCCCTCTACAATCTCTCTCTATAATATCTCTCCCTAACATGCACTACTCTCACATATTACCCATGCTAAAGCCCAACGCACTACCTAGACCAAAGAACTCAACTAGTGCCTCACAATATCCCTCCTTTATATACACATGTAGAAACTTAGCCCTTAATTAAGCATGTAGCCTACATTACTTTTCTATTTAACTCTTGTATTTATGGAACCAAAAACCAGAACTTCCTAAGACCATTTAATTGTATAGGTAGGAATCAAACTTGAGATGTGGCATTGCAGGACATCAATTGCTAAGCACTCAAGGCCAACCCAATTCCTTCTATAGATACTTCCTATCCTATAAAACAAATCAATCTTAACATAAATATTGGATCTATCTAATATACAATCAGGAAACATTCTCCCTTGTTTCATCTCAATCAAATACTGACTTGCTAAAAAACTAATTTAAATCCAAAGACCTTATCTAATTTAATAACCCCAAGTTGGTCCTCAAGACCAAAGCGGTCAGAACTTGCCCAGCTTTTCCCTCTCCTATTTTCCTCTTCACTCCAACGTGTGCGAGAGTTAGCGATAACTCTCAACACTCCCCCTCAGTGCTAACTCCCTTCTCATAATGCCAAGCTGTCCTCTAAACTTCACAAACTTTGAAAAATGCAATCCCTTCATGAACACAGCGGTAGTTTCCTCCTCTGTGACCACAAGCAATAAGTTAATATATCTGGTCAGCACCTTTTCCCAATGAAGTGATATTGTACCTCAATGTGTTTTGTCCTTGCATGAAACACTGAATTCTCTGCAAGTTGTATGAGACTCTCATTGTCATAATATAGTCCGACTACATAATCTACATCTTTCTTCAAATAACGCATAAGTTGCATTAGCCACAAGCACTCCTAAGCCGCCATAGATACCGATCGATACCCAGCCTCCAACTTAGAAGCACATTGTCAGTTGCCTCTTACTGCACCAAGAAATTACTTCCAACCTTAGGCTAAACACATACCCAGTAGTTGAACTGCGATTTGTCAAATCCAACTTCTCATGCAGATTCTTGCTCATAAAGAATCCCACAGTCTGTTGTACCTTTCACGTATCACAAAATATGTCGAATTTCTTCCAAATGAGGCTTCCAAGGTCTTTGCATAAACATGCTCACAAGTCCCACAGCATGAGCAATATATGGTTGCAAAAGAGTCAAATCTATTGGACTTCCAACCAGCTGCCTATATATCCATAAGTTGCGAGTTCCTCCTTTACATCACTTTTCAACTTTCCATTAAATTCAGCAAGTGTTGAGATAGCATTGCAATTCTCCATCCGGAACTTGCATAACCATGGTGTACTTCTTTTGGCACAATAATGGACCCCTTTTGCATCGGTCTACTTCCAACCAGTGACAGTCATAAGCTCCCCTAGCTCCTTCATCTCGATCCTAACATAAAGGTTCTCATAAATAAGCTTAATCTCGTCCACATCATCACCTGTGATGATCAAGGCATCCACATATATCAGTACAATTGTTAGCTTTTCAGCTTGTTCCTTCACAAACAAGAAACAAGAGCTCAATGATATTACCACATCATGCTTGTAGAGCTTATTTCAACCCATACAAAGCCTTTTGTGAGTTGCACATATGCTTGTAGCCTCTCGTTACATTGGAATCCATGTGGCTACTCCATTGGAATGTCACGTTCTAGCTCACCATGCAGAAAAGCGATCTTCACATCCATCTGTCAAAGCTTCCATGCTTTGCTTATTGCAAGTGCAATCAAGACTCACACAGTTGTGGTCTTCACAACTGCATTAAAAGTACATCAAAATCCACACCATACCGCTGCAAAAATCCATTAGCAACTAATCGTGCCTTATAGTGATCAATAGTGCCATCAGACTGCTGCTTCATATTTTCTAGTCATAGGACTTGCTTCCACATCTCATTCTTCTTGAGAGCATCAAACTCCTCTTGTTTATAGCTTTGTTGCCATTCTGCAACACCCGTTGCATCATCAAACGAGGCCGAATATTTAATCTCAAGATCGTTAGATATACCACACTGCACAAGTGACACCTCTTATGCATATGATGCTTGTGCATACTTTGGACTCAGTTGTTGCTCCTCACGCTCGTATGTAGTATCATATGTAACACATGCGGTCCCAGCATACAAAATGTATTGCTCGTCCATTCACCACCCATGCATGATCGAGACACCTTCGATCTTCAAACTCTCGAACCCTTTGCCATCATCCGGTCCAAACACCACATTGTGTCCTGCAACATTTATTTGCATTAGTGACATTAAATTAATTGTCGTGCCTAAAACATGATGCTTGCCCTCTCTTACATGAGGCTTGGCTACATCTACCTCTAACACAGTGAGATCAAGGGAATTCTCTCCTTAACTATGAAGTCTGATCGAGGTTGTGTCTACGACCTGCACAAATCACGCTTACACATCTCAGTCACCATCATCGTCTTGCAACTGTGGTCGTGCATCACTTTTGAATATATTCCATTCTTTATCTTTCAGCCTCCAGTATTGATTCATGAAGTGGCTTGGCTTTCCATGGTGATAACATGTCATCTATCATTGCTTATCATATGATCCATTACTGTTGTTTTTGTTCTTGTAAGCTTTAGACTTTGAGGGCTGATTTTTGTTCTTCCTTCCCTTTGCCCTTTGGTTGTCATAGATGCCTCTTTACTCTCCTTTACAGAGAGCCCCACCGTCAGTCTTGCAAGATACTCTTAATTAACTAGGATGTTCTC